AGAAGCACTGCATAGCGAACTCTCGCTATCTTGTACTAATGACACTGAACTTCAGTGGAATAGCATCTCGGCCGCTATGCACGACGCAGAAGCATCTGTTTGTGGCACTGTCAGTCGTCACCGCACCAGTCACTGGATATCCGAGAGGTCCGTGAACCTATTGGAAGCTAGAAGACACCTCCCGGCTGGTTCTGAACACAATGTAACCAGACGAACTATTAGGCGGGAACTAAAGCGGAGCCTACGTGCTGACAAGGAAGCCTGGTGGACCAGTCGGGCTCAAGAAATGGAGGAGGCAAGAGCAGTAGGCAATTACCGCAAGCTCTGCCAGCTAGTCCGCACCACTGGTCCCAGAAAACCAGGCATCAGTGAGACAATCAGAGACAGCGCGGGTGGGCTGTTACACAATAAGGAGCGCCGTATGACTCGTTGGGCTGAACACGTTGAAGATCAGTTCAGCTGGCCCCCTGCTCCCGGACCTCTTCCTACTCAGGTGATGCAGGACGTGCCATGGACGGTTAGTATAGAGCCTCCGTCGGAGGCCGAGGTCCGAAACGCGATCACAGCCCTCAGTTGTTTTCGTGTCGTTGGCCCGGATTCCCTCCCACCTGCACTATTTAAGGATGGAGGTGAGGTCCTCTGCAGGGCACTGACCTCCCTATTCGAACGTATCTGGAACGAAGAGCGTGTCGGCTAATTAGAGCGAATCGATTATAGTAGCAATATACAGAAAGGGCAGTCGCACAGACTGTTCTAACCACAGGGGTATTAGCCTAACACAAGTTGTGACAAAATTACTGGCTTCGATTCTCGTTCGTCGCCTCACTGCAGAACGGCAAGCTCGGATTAGGGAAGAGCAGGCCGGTTTTCGCCCAAGACGTGGCTGTATAGACCATATATTTACTTTGCGGCAGGTGCTAGAGCAGCGCCACGCATACCGCAGACGGACAATAGCCGTGTTTCTCGATTTCAAGAGTGCGTTCGATTCAGTTGATCGATCGATTCTGTTCGAATTACTTGCGCGAAAAGGTGTTCCCACGAAATATGTGAACATCCTTCGTGCTCCATACTCGAACACTACAGGCCGCGTCAGGGTCTACAGTGTCCTATCGGATAGCTTTCCGACCACAAGTGGCGTTCGTCAGGGTTGTCCAATTTCCCCGTTTTGTTCAGTTTCGTCGTGAATTCTATCATGGAGTGTTCTCTGACGGAATCCAACGATGTAGGCGTTGAAGTGCTGCCTGGTGAAAGGTTAGTTGATCTAGATTATGCGGACGATATCGTCTTGCTTTTCGACAATGTTGGGGCGGCACAATCAACCCTGAATAGCCTATCCAGAGTGGTCCCATTATTTGGTATGCACTTCGCACCTTCAAAGTGCAAAATGTGGCTGCAGGACCACCAGCCACTTGATGACCCCTTGACACTTACTAACGAAGAACTCAAGGTGGTTGATCAATTCACTTATCTTGGCAGCTGCATCAGCAATGATGGGCGCATAGAAACTGACGTGAGCTCACGCATTGCAAAGGCCAGAGCTGCCTTCTTGAACATGCATCATCTTTTGCGACATAAGGGAGTTACCCTCCGTCTGAAAGGCCGCGTATACAAGGCCACAGTGTGGGCTGTTCTGCTCTATGGTAGGGAAAGTTGGCCTCTTCGGTCTGAAGATCTGTGGAAGATTGTTGAATATTTATAAAAGAGAGATTGACATTATTGTGTTCCCAATTTGTGCCATTTAAATGTCGAAAGGTTGGACCGATTAAGCTTCATTGGTTTGCTAAGGAGTATGGAAACCTGACTCGGAGGCGGCGCAGACTGTGGGACAAATTCCTTCTCTCTGGCTCTGCCAATGATTACGAAGGGTATAAATGTCAGCGGAATCTCTGCAACAGTTCAAAAAAGAATAAACGCCGACACTTTGAAGAGCAGCTCGCATTAGCCGCGAAGACCGCCCCAAAGAGAATCTTTGCATACGTGAAGCGACGCCTGAAGCCGGCGGGTGATGTGCCCGTGCTGGATGGCACGGATGGACAGCCCCTAACCTCCAGCACTGAGCATGCGTCCGCGTTGGCGGCGCACTTCGCTTCTGTATTTGCGAATAACCAGGTGTCTGTTCCGAGTTCGAGGTGAACCGTTTTTATTAAGCTCGATAGTCTGCATTGCGGCGTCGAAGAGGTAGCTCAACTACTCGCCAACCTTGACGGCACCAAACCTGCCGGACCTGATGGGTTTCACCCACTGGTTCTCAAGTCACTTTCAACCATCCTCTCTCCTGTCGTGACTGACCTTTTCAACAGGTCACTGTCCGAAGGTTCGTTGCCGGTTGACTGGAAATGTGCGGTGGTGAAGCCTATTCCGAAAGGCGGCGACCCTAGCAAAGTAGACAATTACAGGCCAATTTGTCTGACACCTATTTTGGCAAAGGTTGCTGAGAAAATCGTGAAGAAGAGATTGCTGCAGTTGCTACAGTCAAACGAGGTCCAACCACCCGCACAGCACGGTTTTATGCAAGGTCGCTCATGCATTACGAACCTGCTTGTGACGAGGCATGAGTGGTTGAAAGCAACAAGGGGAAATCCGTCGACGTGATATTCATCGATTTCAGTAAGCGTTCGACAAGGTCAGCCATGAGGTTCTCCTTCACAAACTCAGCATGTGTGGCGTCGGTGGCTCTCTGCACCGGTGGATCCGCGACTATCTTGTTGGACGAAAGTGGAGGGTACAGGTCGACGACCATCTAACTGACTGGTACCCCTCTACAAGTGGCGTGCCTCAAGGCACTGTGCTGGGGCCCACTCTGTTCCTGATCCACATCAACGATCTACCGCAGCTTCTCCGGTCGCCGTGTGCCTTGTTTGCGGACGACATGAAGATTTGGAGAGAAATCGACGCTCCCGATGACTGTGGCCTACTTCAGCAAGATCTCAACCGCTTATCCACATGGTCTGCAGAAGTTCTTCTCCCGGTCAACCCAGCGAAGTCTGTATTTATGAGCCTGGGGAAGGGTGCCGACGGCCGAACCTACACCCTTGACGGCTAAACGCTATATCCCACACCCTCCGTGAAGGACCTAGGTGTACTCTCACGCTACGATTTGAAGTCCGTGGACAACACGAACAGGCTATATCGGAACGGACTGCGCATGCTTTGGGCGCTCAAACGTAGCTTCGGCACATGGTCTGAAGAGGTTGCCACTCGCCTGTTCTCTTCTATCATTAGACCAATGCTAGAGTACGGTTCGCCCGCCTACTTTCCGATTACCCGAGGCGAGGCACAAAAGATCGAACGGGTCCAACACGTTGCTACCAGGCTCATCCCGAGTTTACGTGGCTTTGGGTATGAAGACCGGTGCGAGAAACTAGGACTCTACATCTTGTCCTACCGTCGGGTGCGAGTCGACCTCATTATGGCCTACCGAATTCTACATCTCGGTGAGTTCCCCATGTTAAGGCCAATGCTGCACTTACGAGGGCTATGCAGCACACGCGGACACAGATACAAACTTGTCGTGCCGGATATGAAACGTGTTCCCCACCCACTGTGCTTCGAACGGAGAGTGGTAAACATTTAGAACAGTTTGTCCGAACATGTGATTGAGGCAACATCTGTGCAACAGTTCAAAACGTTGTTAGATTTGTACTTTGCCTCTATTCGATTCAGAGAACGACTGCACACTTACGATGACATATCACATTTGTGAATCCTGAAATATCGTAAGTCGAATATTTAAAATATTACATGAGAACGACAATGAGATTCAAGGTTGACAACTTTTATAACGTTTTTTCGCCATATTTCGAAAGAGTTGTACAGAATCCATTTCTACTTGCTCTATAATACAGTATTCAGTATTCAGTATATATATGCTATCGAAGCTAGCTAAAGTAGCTTAAGAAACATGTGCAAGTTTATAGAAGATAGTTCACAGGCAAACACAAGCACGCTGTATTTGGCGAATCAAGTGCACACAAGGCGGTGGCTGGACCGTAGTCTGCTTCACACTAAGTGCATGGAACCAGTGTTCGAGCCTAGCACGACCACAAGGACCGTACACCCCGTCCCCTGCAGCAACAACCAACTGTCTCCTGGAGCCAGATGGACGAGGTAGTAGGTAATAGACAGGTAGGCACCTTGTCAACATGCACATCAAGCGCAGCCACACCTGGGATGTCAAACAACAACCAATCGCTAAGAATGCCGATATCGAATAAAGTAAATGCATATGACGACATAAATACTCGCTGAGTGAGCATATAGAAGAAATTGGTTATAAGTGAATCCGTGATAAGCACAAAATGTCCGAGTTATTTTAAAAAAAATACCACGCGATACAATTACGCAAGTTTACCACAATTTGCATGAGCGACGTGTGCAAGTTGGGAGAAGATTATCAAGCACGCAGAACAAATGAAATAAAATGTAACGAAGTTTATCCACATTAAAAAGACCTAGTTTAAGTGTAAGTTGGTCTAGCCCAACTGCGGTGAAGAAGCATCATGAATGCTACATCAGTCTCAGCATTGGGCATATATATATATATATATATATATATATATATATATATATATATATATATATATATATATATATATATACGTTTTGGGATTTTCGTTTTGGAGTTTTTATATTCGAGCAAACATTAACTAATAGATAGTGAGGTTGAAAACAGTCGCCACAAACGTCTTTTGTGAAGCTGAACCTCACTATTGTTGGTTTGCAGAGGGTGTTTTGAGTCACAAAACTTGTACGGCACTGGAGCTGTTCCCTTGCCTACGCTTAAGCATCTCGTAGTATCGGCTAAATGCAACAATGTATTTGTGTGACTTTTGTTCGAGGTGATAACTGGACTTAAAACTATGTCCAATAAAAACCTCTACGTAAAAGGTAAGGCACAGTCTGTTTATTAGAATGATCACCTGGCTCACTCGTAGTTGACGCAATCACAAGCTCATTTTACGTGGGTACACTGGCCAAGTTCGTGGGTCATTACGACTCACCCAAATCCAACAGCATCTCCAGTTTGGTACCATCAGTCAGGTCCAATAAGGAGGCGAATTGTCTTGATGAATAAACAAACATCGAACCTCTTCGGAGAAGGCTAATCAATAAAAGAGCAAGCCCAAGAAATAACAGACATCGGTGGGGTAAAGAAAATAACGGAAAACACAAAAACATGATAGATTAGGATGTAATACAGATGTAGTTTATCGCAATTACGTACATTTAAATCGCGCCCAAAAGACCCACTACTCATTCGTAATTTAGGATATGGTTAACATACACAATGGCATGTAATGAAAGCGCCGGGATCAAAAGAGCCGGATGACTTAACTGACCATACTGTGTAAATATAATAATCTTAAGAATAAGTAAAAGAGATGATGGCTTACTTGATTTTAAGCCACAATAGCAGACAACCAGTTGGGGCAGGGAAGTGCGGGTGAGACCCCTCGAGGAACTACTCTGCATGGAAGCAGACTCCATGGATGACTGTATTAGTGCACTTGAAAATTTGGCCATATTTGCAGTTACTGTCATTGCCAACTGCTCAATCCAGCGTAAAGTAAAAATCCTTCAGAAATTCGCTCCGAAAGGCCTTGAAAACTCGAATAATTAACGGTTTTATACAATCTCGCTGTATATATTGATCAGACCAGACGTTTGGACTGTAACATGCATTGTCGAGGAATGAACCGTTTATCTATAAATCATCAAATCAATCATCAACAATAACAGTACATCAGCTATTTGAACTGATGCTTAGCTGAAAACTCAATGTTTTTAAGCGAACATATGTCTTCAATAATTCTTCTTCAGACTTGTACAATTATACGCAAAAACGACCGAAATATAGACCCAGCACTAGGACTGGTAAAGCACTCAGTTTACATTCACTGTCAACCACTGCTCCCTAGGACACAGTTGCAGTACGTGCACAATTCCTTGGTTTGGACGGAGCAGTTCTTCGGATGCTTCGCTGCCATACAACCATGATGAACCATGGAATAAAGAAAAATAAGAGGGAGAGAAGAGAGACTTATCTGGAAACCTTACGCAAACATTCAGGGTTAAAGCATCTACACCTTGTGTTAACAACATACAGTCACAAACAGCTGGCTATCGTGCAAAGATAAGGCAGCATCAGCGAGACAAGTTCTTTGCGGCTTTCACTAGGTACTATTAATAGACTGGCCTGCACGGTTAAGAAGCTTGAAGTGAACAAACGTTATGTACAATTCAACTTCCAAGCTGTGCTCAGTATCAGTCAGTAGGTCTCTGTGAACGAGTAAGAGTAAATGGGGCATCATCAGGTTTCAGATAAGAGTGGCGACGATAAATTTGGCGCTAACGAAGTGAAACACAGCACATCTCTTTAGTTCGACACGCGAGCCACCGTGCTACACAGACAAGTGGATAGTATGTGCAAACGACAGTAATGGCCAACATAAGCTTCTAAGCGAAGACAATGAAACAAGAGAACAGAGTTGTCTCAAAATCCACAAATAATTACCAAACTACAACCAGAAGACGGGTAAAAGGGACTCAGTTCAGCATGTTGAATAAAAAGCATCGACCAGCAGTCCGAAATCAGTGTGATCAGAAACTGTGACAACTAAAGGCAGTAAGCACACATTCAGCACAAAGAGTAACAAATTTCGAAGGCCCCGAATATCACATCTAGCTCAAGCTATCTTCACCTGAGGACTCCAAACGAAGACGAAACCGGTCACGGAGGGTCAGTATTTGGAAGAGCAACACCGAAACCACTTCGAATGTGATCCAAATGATCGGAATGACTATGGTATACTACAAAGTAAATTGAGGTGTCAGTATAGATCGCATGCAGCAATCCAACCACACGGCCGTTACTCCAGAACTAACTTTGTTCTTAACCGCTGTGTCGAGCGTTGTTAACGGATTTAAATGACCTGGTGATCAGGATGTCAGCCACTAACCAGTAGGTCCAAATTCCACTCCCAGCTCTCACTATCTTCACCTGATGAGTTCAAATGAGGACGAAAATGATCATGGGGTGTTTTGGGAGAGAACAGCACCAAAACCCACTACAAAACTCGAAAAGCTGGGAAAGTGTGGAAGCTTAAAAGGATTCAATTAATAAATAAAAATGTAAAAGCGTGAGCCCTTTATGTGCATCAATTTAGAGGTGGTGGTTGCCAAGAAAGCAGAAAAATCAGAAACGAACAACATAGGCAAGAAGATAATCAATCTGAAGGTCATCAGTGCATTAGTTAATGTGTATAGCCGACTACAAACATCCGTGACTTGATCAAAGTCAAGTGAGTGGCATTAGCGAGAATCGACGAAGCACGAACGCATCACGAATATAAGGGGGTGACTGGCGTGAAGAAGAGTGCGAACATTAACCAGCATCAGAAAGAATCAATGACAGATAGGATTAAGAGTGAGACAATGGGACCGGATCTGGGATTTGACAGTGTCTGCGAACAGTCATGACATGTCTGCGCCCAAACAAGGATCACTGTTGGCATGGGTTATTAGAGTAAGAAATTCATTGAAGTTTTTCATAAGTTGATTTTAACTGCGGAATCTTTCAATAACATTTTAATAAATTGTCTGGATCTTTTATATATATATATATATATATATATATATATATATATATATATATATATATATATATATATATAGTCGATTCCGGTTAATAGAACAACCGGTTAATAGGACCAGCCGCTTATTCGGGCCAAATTCTGAAGAACCGAAACGAATCCTATTACGCTAGCCTAATTTTAGCCGCTTATTCGGAATGGAATTCCGCTTAATCGAACCAGACGATAGAAGGTGGCAGGTAACAGAGGTGTTAAAATCAAGTTCTGTGCATGGATGTCTGGACTAAACCCACAATTCATATGTCGGGCAAGAAAGCGTATCATTCAGTTACGGTAATCCGAGTTGGCCTTTGGATAAACTGAACTGTTGCTACTATGAGGCACATCTATCTAATTGGCTTCAGAACCGCCCGAAACTGACTGTAGTTTCCAACACTTGTAGGCGGACAGAAGACATAAATGTTTGTTCACATGTCGTTAATCGCTCGATCGATATACCGCACGTGCATTGAGCCGAAAGCCCTGAGCCCGCATTGTGGGCCTACGCTCGAGCACGGCAAGTGATCGCCGACACATAGGTCTGGCAAATCATAGGACAGCAGGTGGCTAGGTCAACCATAGAAATACCCGGGAGACAGACTCGAGTTCACCTCAGTGAAATGTGCGTGTCTTGTTGCATGTTAAGAAAATGCCACGACGGGACTTGACGTTAGCTGAGAATATTCGTTTCCTAGATCAGATCAAGGAACAGGGACCATCCACTAGTCACCGTCGATTGGTGGAAATTCCCTGCTTGGCAAAATCTACAATATCGCGCCTGATGAAACAAGAGAAAGATCTACGAGAAGAATGAGCACAATGTGAAGGACGACGAGGTATTTCCCAAAAACGGAAGCGTGAAGGCAAGGATCCAGACGTCGATGAGGCCCTTAATGATTGGTTTGCCTTTGTTACTGGACGAGCCGTGCGAGTAAGTTGCCCAATGTTAAAGTACAAAACAGAAGAACTCGCTAAAATGCTGGGCCACGAAGATTTTATGGCTACGGACGGCTGGTTGTCTCGATGGAAATCTAGACATGATGTAAACTTTAAGAAAGAACATGGTGAAAAAGAAAGTGCAATAGCGCTCGAGCTGAAGAGTGGAAATCAACAAAACTACCAGAGCTTCTTGAAAAATTTCCAGCAGATGACATCTATAATGCTGATGAAACCGGGTTGTACTATAGGGCTACACCGGACGGCTCCTTAAGTTACAAACATGTTACTCTCTCTGGCTGCAAAAAAGCAATGGATCGCGTAACTGTCTTGTGCTGCTCAAACATGTCCGGAACAGACAAGAGGAAGTTGCTGGTTATAGGAAAATGTGCCAAGCCTCGCTGCTTTAAAAGACTCAGAATGGACAGTTTACCAGTTGTGTATTGTGTGAACAGAAATGCATGGATGAGCTCTACGCTTTTTAAAGAATGGGTGAAGGATTGGAACACAGAACTACAACGCCAGTCGAGAAAAGTGTTATTACTTATCGAAAATTGTGCAGCACATACAAATTTGGATTTCTTGAAGAATATCCAGATGGAATTTCTGCCTCCTAACACCACATCTTTGATACAGGCAATGGACATGGGCATCATAAAAATGTGAAGACCTTTTATCGTCCAAGGTTGGTGAATTACATCTTTGAATCAATTGAGGAAGGCTTGCTGACCTCATCCTCGACGGCGTCAAACCACACTGGGTAGGGTATTCAAACGCTAAATGGAATTCGGTTATCCCTTTGTATAAAACTGTACTTCGCATGCTGAATATCTTGTAGGTCGTTACGAAGAATTTATTTGTAAATTTCTTTTTCAGTGAAAAAAGTTCGTTATCAAAGCAGTTCTTTTTTGTGTGCTTGCTATAAATATATGCCGCCAACACAGGTCATAATATTAGTTTCCTATGTTATGTATAGCACGCCCCATCTTGTTACATCGGGTAACTTCGGTTAATCGGACCAGCCGCTTAATAGGACCAAAATGGTCTGGTCCCGATGTGGTCCGATTAACCGGAATCGACTGTATATACGTATATATATATATATATATATATATATATATATATATATATATATATATATATATATGCTTGAAACGCGTTTTTTTGCTGTCAGTAGTGAGTTTGGCCCATAAACACGCTTTTGCACTACGTTTAATGCGACATCGACAGGAGACAAATTCCTAATTTTGTTGTCCCAACTTGAACTTGATCAAGATGCCGCGGAAACAGCTCGTGACATCAACAGTAGTCCTGGTACCATTAATGACCGAACTGTATAATGTTGGTTTCAAAAATGCTGAAGAGTTTACAAGGGACTTGAAAATGAAGAGCGTTGTGGACAGCATAAAACGGTGCTACATCTTAGTTCCGAAGTAACAGTATCGCATGTGACAGTGTCAAAACATTTACGGAAGATTGGAATGTCGAAAAAGCTTGTTAAGTGGGTGCCGCACGAGTTGAAGAAAAATCAATAAAATCATTGCTTCGAAGTGTCGTCTGTCGCAGTGTCGCGAAATAAAAAAGAACCGTTTCTCATCCAGAATGTAACATGCGAGGAAAAAGTGTGTCATTTGCGACAATCGGCGGCGTACATACAGCTCAATGAAGGGACCACGATTAAGCTCCGCAACACTTCCCAGGGCCGAAATTGCGCTCAAAATAGCTTATGGTGGTCTGCGGATCAAGAACAGACTTCTGAATATAGCAAACTGCTGAAATGCGACAAAAAAAATTCAACAGGTGTGTCCGGCGCTGGTCAACAGGGAGGGGCAAATTCTTCATCACGGTAACACTAAGCCGACCGTGGCACAAACAACGCTACGGAAGCTACATGAGTTGGTATAGGAAACTTTGTCTCACCCACCCAACTACTCTGAACTTCCGCCCACCGAGTATCACGTTTTAAGCACCTGAATTACTTCATCAGAGAGAAATGTCTTAGAACCCGAGGAGATGCTAAAACCGGATTTAGCACCACCAGAAACTCGGGATATCGTTCATCTGCGATAAATCTAATTATCTCCAGTTAGCAAAGGTGTGTCAGCCTCAATTCTAGCAACAACGTTGCGTTTGAGCATTCAAATTCTGATTAAAAACCGCAATAACTATCTTAATGGCGAGGAGGAAAATGAGCGGTAGGCGTTCGACAAACAATTGTTTTCGATTAATTCATCAGAAGGTAATTACAACTGTAGATTGACTTCAAAACCGGGGCAAACAGGGGTAATAAAAGCGGATAGCAGACGCGTGGTATGCACGGTTTGTTCGTAAGTAACCATCACCACGCAAATTACAGACGGGTAGGCAAACCCGGATGACTGCCGTGACAATTCCCAGTGAGGAATGATGCAACTTGTTTCACGAGGTACAACCATATGTTGTGTACATTTGACGGATGACTGCTAGTCACTCGCCGGTGCAAAATCTGTGAAACGGGCGCATAAAATGTACACAGAGCAGAAGATAGACTGTAGCCAATTTCACTCGGGAACCCTTTTGAGCCCAGTAGCGTCTAGTATACCGTGCAACTAGTCCCCACTAGCGACGAATAATACTCTCCTAGAGCTAATGATCAAACTAATGATGCCTGCAGAGTACTGCTCCAACATCCACATTAAACACAACTGCAGTGAGATATCACTCGCGAGTAAATTGAAAGCGCAAATCAACTGTTCGATTAAAATACGATCGAAGCGATAAAACATGGCATATGAACGTCAGGCCCAGCAACAATCACCACTCGAAGATGGCTCATCACAGTTCTCTTACAAATAGTACACACGGTGGCTATGCTACCCATTGGCCTTGAAAGTGGTGAACGGTGACAGCAATGAACCCGCCGTGTGAACAAAAAGGCGTATGAAGCACCACCCGGTTGTTAACAGTTTTCCGGCACGGTAAGTTGGCTGTCTAGGAAGGGTTCAAGGAGTATCCCAAGTAGGCATGCACCATTAGAAAACCACGTGATGTAGCCATTAGTTATTAACCCAGTAACAAATAGTGTGGGCCACAGCCTGTGGTAAATACACATGACAAAATCCATACAATCACCGTCAACTTTGAGGCTTGTACAACCTTCGCACCATCTATCGAAAGCAGCAGTGTTGTCAGCAACTCCTGCTTAAACTCCATTGGTCGTGATAACTGAATCACAAAACGATGCTCTTTCATAATCTGATATATCTGAAAGTATACTCCTGTTTCCCAGCAAGAGAGCTGTATATCAATGTTAATTCGGAACTCTCTGGTCAGTTATGTTGTCGTATGTGAAGGATACTGACCCCAAGTAAACCGTAACAGAGTTCCGCACTAACAATGAGGTTATCTTGAGCCGTGCGTAATACACTGTTATAAGAAAAACCGAAAAGACCAGCCAGTGGCAGCAGTTGTTCACACAAGGAAGGCATGCAGAGAGCACCTGTAATGAACCATTACTTCTTGTCTAGCAACAGTAACAACGATTTCCATGCCAAATAAATATGTGAAATGTCGAAATCGTGCTATGCCGTCCACCGGAAAACCACCGCACTAGGCTACAGAGGCACAAGCATTAGCCGCGTACCCATGCCAATCAAAACGTACTCCACGACTACGTTCACCTTTCAATGCATCGTGTTTCCTGCCACGTAGGAATGCTAAATATGTGGTGCATATACAGTACTCAGAATTCCAACGTCAGACCTTCAAACCACGGCCTTTCATTCAAATACATTTCAAAGAAACTAATGCTGTGTCAAGATCATGCGTAGAGAAAAATACTTGCCCACGTACATGTTATTCGAGAGAGAACATGATTTGCGCCAATAACAATAGGCGCAGTTTCTATCCCATCTGGGAAGTATAACAATTACTATTAATAAGATCACTGTTGCTGTTAAACATGTAAGTCGCTCCGATATTATGTGAGCTAGTCCTCTACAGTTTAATGCTGCGGAATGGATCCCTAAGCGAACCGTCGCTCCAAAGAGCCATAGTTCCAATACAACAAACCGAATAAGTGAACTAAACAAAGGATCGAAACATACCCGTTAATCGAAGTGGAAGTCATAAACCATGTGAGAACAGCCTTTGCAATAGCATGATAGAAATGCGTGAAGAACCAATCGGATTTTTCGAAACAGTTCGAAAGAAAAGCAGAGGTTTCCTCATCTTGTTCAGACTTTTGAAGCTTCGTGAGTAGTTCTGACGTTAAACAGTCAGTACAAACTGAATACCACTGAAAAAGAGTTAGGCCAGCTAAAACTTGCCTCTGGGTGATCGCTGTTACTATTTAATTTCTGATGTTCGAATTTAGCGTGCAACGTACGGATAAGCGGGTTTCTAATGTACATGGACATTTTCACGAGAGAGACAAGGTGAGTAATGGCAGCATTCTTTTATCCGTTTAGTTCCAAGAACAGCTGGGACTGCAACAGAAAACGAGGATAAAGTTGAATATTTTTCCGCAGCCAAAGAGGCGAGCGTACTAAAAAGCGAACCAATAACAACCGACATCTTGACTACACGATAATCCAGTGTGGCGATATTCACATTGCGCATACCTGTGCAACTTCCAGAGAAGGGGTACCGGATTAAAAAGTAAGCAGAGCACATGATGGACTGGGATTTCAGGTGAGCATTGAAAAGGGTAGGGAAAAAGCTACAATCCCCGTGTTAAACCGGGACCTACTTAAGCAAAAACAACATGCATATTGGAGTGTAATTAATTTAATTATCTAGGGGATGTAATATATATATATATATATATATATATATATATATATATATTAGGCAACGTGCACTTCCGGATTAGTTTGTCACTAACAGTCACAGAACGCCTGCTGTTCAGTTCAATTCAGTTGACTAACTATGATGCGAGCACCGAAATGTGGTGGATCCAGTTGCCACGACTCACACGGTAAGAATAACAATGATTAAGAACGGCAAGATAGTGGAGTCGAATGCAAATAGAATGCAAAGAAAATGGAAGAGGGAAGTGCGTTAAACTCAGCAGAATGGAACGAAAATCAACAACCAGATGAAAAAAGCCGAATGCAGGAAGGCCACCTACTTCGTGACTGGGTCATGTCTTACACGGTCTCCAACCATTAGTGTGGATCTTCTCGAAACCGCCATCCAGGAAAATGGCACGCATCATCCTGACCAAGTCTCGCAGTCAATTTCTTCATGTTTCTATGCCACATCATGGACTGGCCATCTTGAGGTTTCGCCCTAGTGTAACCATGGCGTATAATACAAGCTGAGGAAGCCGAGCAACGGGTATAAGGAAGACATGTCCTAGCCAACGCAAGCGATTAGGAATTAGCAATCCAGAGACACCAGAAGACTTCTTACCAAAAACTAACTGGTGGATCTCAGTATCGCAAAACCGGTGTTTCCACCAAACGTAAGCAATATTCCACAAGCATCGGTGGTCAAACACGTCCAAGCGCTTAATGGCTTCACTATGAACTTGCCAGGTCTCTGAACCATACAGTAACGCCTTATCGCAGCATCATAGACCCAACCTTTCCCTGACAAGATGATATCCCGCTGCCTTCATAAACGGTTGAGTCTCTGGAAGTAACTTCCTAAGTGATGTACCCAACAGACGTGACACAGCTACCAAGGTAAGTGAACCGATCCACCACTTTCATTGGCATGCTGACTCTGTGTAAGCTCAGTGGAGCACTCAGATTGTTTACCGTGAACCATAATTTTAAGTCACCTGTAAACTTTGAGGATAGCACTCTTAGCTCATCAGATAAGTCGTTAATACAAAAAGTGAAAAAGAGGCCAAGAACTGAATTTTGCGTGACCACATTGCGAACGGATTGTCGAGAAGACAAACCGGAACCCAAACGAACATTTATCTCCCAATTAGGGAAGCTGAAAACAATTGTAAGACAAGTCCAGAAAGCACGTATGATTACAGCTTGTACAAAAGACGTGAAAGCGGGACGGTGTCAAAAGCTTTGGAAAAGTCAATGAACATCATGTCTACTGCCTTACCTCGCTTCGACCCAATGTTCTCGAGCCACTAACAAGTTAGTAAGGCAGGAATAACCTTTACGAAAAGCCGTGTTAAGGGAGTTGAGCAACCCAAATGCTCTTCACTTTCCTCCGAGAGTACCCCTCATAAGTTTTTACAACAGCTTGACCAGCACGCTCGTAAAACTGACTGGCTTGTAGTTTTTCAGGGTGTTTGCCACCTATTTTAAAAATGGGTCACAATAGCCTTCCAGTCGGTGGGTAGGGCACAGATACGTAGAAACTGGTCAAAGGTATGTGTAAACTGGGAGCAAAGTCCATACCCAACTCCTAGAGCAGTTTGGGATGTATATCATCCACCATAGCAGCTTTAAAAATAAATATTTTATTCTCAAAATTATTGAGCAGAAGCAGAAGTACTTGAGGCTGATATGGACACCTACTCCAGGGCAGAGCCCTCAGGAACTTTAGCCTGCAGGCTGATATGCGGCAGCTCAGACTCGCGAACATGGGCACCTGCATGTTGTTCTCCGAGTAAATAAACTGTCGTGATCTGTCACAGCAGCAGAGCCGTCAGGTCCAAACAACATCGAGATGGACGAGTTTATGTTGCCTCGCCTTATGACAGGCGAAAAAGCCTTTTGGATTAGATGAGATTGTACGAGCCACTTCAACTTTATATTATAGTCGAGAACTTCGCTGATGCTGCCTGCAGTCATTTTGGGCTTTGGGGTATCGTTTGTAGCTACATGATGAAAAAGCAGATGAATGATTTCGCCAACATCTAGTAAGTCCGCACAAACCTTTATCAGGTTAATAGATGAGGTTACGCGCGACATACACGCACAGCGCCATGATTTGATTCAACAAGCCGCACCATCACGCGGTCCCTCAGGCCCTTCTCTAGTTAGCTCGCATCGGTCGATGTCGTTTGTTAGCCAATACACGAAAACAGTGTACCACAATACACTTTCGTCCCGCCATCGCAATGAGGCTGGACTTTACCGGGGTGCAATCCACTGAGCTATGCTGGGTGGTGTTTTTTCGCACCTTCAGAGCCACTCATACCAGATTGGTCAATGGTTGGAGGCCAGACAAACTCAGCCTCCTGGTCTTCCAGGTTGGGGCTTGGAATGAGGTGGCTCCTTATTCCTTAAAACGGACTCCTTGTAGCCCAACGCCGAACCCGCTGCCGTGCGGTCACGTAATTGAAACATTGGAGACTCGATCGATATCTGCTGCTTATCGGAGACCCGCCTGCAAGACTAAAACTGTGCTCACTCTGCGATCCCCTTCAGGTGACCCCAGCAGCACTTTCTCATTGCGCCTATCCAGTGACGATGTAGCTTCGAGCACCGGCCAAGCCGGTGTTGGTATTGCCCTGAGTCCCCGGGCTGAAGCTGCTCTGGTTAATTGGATCTCAATTAGTAGCTACATGCGTGCGGTCCCATTGACTGGCTCGTCCAAAGCTTCGAAGTCGCGTGGGCCTAACAGGGTCTATTCGTCATCACTGCCTATGCACCCACAAACTCTAGCGATGGTTCGGTAAAAGACGACTTCTATCGCCAATTGAACGAGTTCCCTCGCCACAAAGGAAGCTCGGAAACTAGTGCCGGCTGGGGATCTGAACGCTGAAGTTGGAAATTCATTCACCGAGGAACTGCATCTGGGCGGCCAACATGATGTAGGCTCCCGTAATGATAACGGTGAGCGGTTACTTCAATTGTGTGAAGATGCTCGCTTATTTCTTGAGAGCACTAACTTCCGACACAGCACCCACCGGAGGATGACTTGGCGCTCACCAGTCTCGAAACAGCTATGGACGCAAATCAATCACATTGCGATAAGTTACCGATGGAGTGGCTTCGTCCAAAACTGTCGTTCGATTTGGAGCACATGTGTGGACACAGACCACGCACTTGTATGTGTTGACCTGCGGGTGCGTTTTGGTGGACGCCCAGGACGACGTTGTGAGAGCAATGACATCAGCCAATGGCGCCTTAGCCGCTGCATCGAACAGGGTGGATAGGGGTTTGGATGCTGCTGTTCAGGCCTTCCCGCACTCTTATCCCCTTTTTGCACTTTTTCAGCCCTATCGTCCCGCTCCAAGTTTACTTTTATCCCCCCAATGCTTGGCCCTCCCCGACATTGCTTCAATAGTTGCTTGTTTTCCAGTTTCAATTCACACACAGTCGCAAGGCGTCACTTCAATCCAGTCGACAAGTCCAAGTTCAAACACGCGAACAACGTCAGTTCCGCCGTTTCCCTTTGGAGTCCTCGCGTCTCGCTAAGACTGGCATGCCTCAATGTGCGCACTTTGCTACAGGTGGGCCAACAGATATTACTTTCCTGCACAATAGAGACCCTATCGATCGATATTTGATATTAATCAGAAACCCGCCTGCGAGATTCGAGCTCCGTGCTTATCTTGCAATCCCCCACATGCGACAATGGCGGCACATTCGCAATGCGCCGGTCTGGCAATGATGCAGCTCCAAGTGCCGGTCAAGCTGGCGTCGGCATTGTTTTGAGTTCCCGGGCTGAAACTGCCCTGGTTGCTTGGATCCCAGTCAACCGTCGGATGCGCGCCGTTAGATAAACTAGTTCGTTCCATGCTATGAAGTCGCGCGGAAACAAACAGTGTCCGGTTGTCATTGCGGCCTACGCCCTTACAAACTGTAGCACTGATTCGGTGAAAGATGATTTCTAGCAACAACTTAACGACTTCTGTCACGGAGAGAGCTTAAAGCCAGTGATCAAGCCGAGAGCAGTGGCGTAAAAGTGGATCGATCTACAATTAGAGATCGAACTCGAGTACAGATCAAAATGTGAATCGATGTGGAATCAGAGGCAAGCTGGATCATGAACTTAAACCATTTGAGTTGTGTTAATTAACATCAATTAGTATCCCCAATATTATTGTTAGTAGTTGCCCAAAACTTTTTGTTACGTCATGCTCTCATACAATACGTCTCTCTGTCTACCTAGTTCTGGCCTTTTGTATTCCGTCGGTTGGCTGGGCGCGTGACTGAGCAGTCAGACAGTGGCAGTCTCAAGGGGCAGCTAGCAGCAATACAACAGTTGTCAGTGGCAGAGAGAAAGAAAGAGCATTATAACGACCTCCTTGGTTACGGAAGAAGCACGGATCCTGTGATGTTGGCTGGTGATCTAAACGCCCAAGTCGAAAAATCGTTTTCTGATGAGCTTCATTTGGGCGGCCAACAAGGTGTAAGCTCCCGTAATGATAACGGCGAGCGATTGCTACAGGTGTGTGAAGATGATCGTCTCTTTCTCGCCAGCACAAACTTTCGACACAGTACCCGCAGAAAGGCGACTTGGCGCCCATAATCATAATCAACATTAAACACGTTAGCTAAAGGTTGGAAAGACCTCAGCTACAGTGCCGCAATACATAAAAGAAAAAAGGAAAATGCAACAGGTGCAAGTCAGCTGAGCTACCGGTAACGGATGGGCATCGTTCCAGTACGCTAGTTGCAAACTACTATGCAGCAGAAAAAATAATTTACTATGCAAAATTATAAAATGTTAAATAATGAGATCGTAATTGGAGGGGGAGGCTAGGAGGGATGGGGTGGGACAAAAAACACAGCACGAACGCCATTGAGTTCGGCTCCTAGTTATGTCAACAAGTGTATCCAGCCAAACGTCTTTCGGACACCTACCAGGGAGCCGAGACGCTCCAAAGGAGGCCAGCTTCAAAGCAAGGGCCTTCATTCCTCTCGACCAAGTCATCGCTTGGCCACCCCTCCTCTTCTTCCATCCACAAGCCTGATGCGCAAACAACGCACGTCGCGGGAGTCGGTGGGATGGCATGCGTAACACGTGGCCGAGCCATCGGTGCCTGGTGCGTGAAACAACGGTGCTGAGCGGTTCATTTCCTTCTCCTGTACCGTAAACGAGGCATCGAACATGCTCGTTGCTTATTTTGTGTTCCCACCAGATGTGAGCGAAATTGCACAGGCACCGGTGATCGAACGTAACTAGCCTCTTGATGTCGGCTGATCTAAGGGGCCAGGTTTCACAACCGTACAGAAGAGTCGAAGGTATCGCTGCGTTGTACATTCTACTCTTCAGGACGAGAGTGATGTCGTGCCGCTGCCATAAGTGGCGAAGGTTAGCAAAAGCACCGCGTGTAGTGACTTGGAGATTCCCTGGTACGACTGTGTAAACTATTCTAAAATATATGAAAATTATAGCTCTTATGTATTAGGGAATTAGGCTGTTTGTCTGTTGGAACGTTGTTCCCGTTTGCTTGAAACACGAATCCGAGCTCCGCCTTTGGCGCACGAGATCACTAGATGTTGGCAAACGATTGGATGTTGTGTTTGTTGATGTTAGCAAAACCTTTGACAAGGTTCCGCATGAGCGGCTTCTTTTCAAACTCCGCGGAATTGGCGTTGCTGGAAATTTTCTCTCCTGGATCTCCGATTACCTGTATGGTCGCTCTGCACAGGTAAGCGTGACTGATGTGCTTCCTGACCCTTATCCTATGACCAGTGGTGTCCCACAGGGTTTTGTCCTTGGCCCTGTCCTCTTCAATATCTCTATCAACGACTTTCTGTCCGAGCTGCAGACGGGATGCTTGATTCATGCAGATGACTTGAAATTTTGGATTGAGGTATCCAGTCTTGAGGATGCAGACAGGCGCCAGGAAACACTCATCAGGCTTCACGACTGGTCGGTAAAATGCCATTTACCTATCAACTGGGATAAATGTTCCGTACTCCCGATTGGTGCTCGTGAACCATTCGGGATGTACCATATTGGAGGTTTCCTGCTTAGAAACGTCGCTCAGGAAAGGGACCTCGGAGTAATTGTGTCGCCCTACCTCAAAACAACTGACGAACCCCGGAAAAGGGTCGCCGCTGCTTACAGGATGTTTCATGCCTTACGATGAGCATTCTCCCGTCTTACACCAGAACTCTTCAGACTCCTGTTAGCCTCACATGTGCGCCCGATTCTCGAGTCCGGCTTGCCAGCTGCCCAGCGTCTCACGAAGACCGAATGCGATATGACTGAGAAGGTCCAACTCCGTGGATCTTAATGTGTGCCCGAGCGGCGGTGCCTATCTTATCCTCTCCGTCTCCAGCGATTAAACCTTTTCTCTCTGGATTACCGTCGTCGTCGCAGCGATTTGATCTACACTCGATGTATCCTAAGAGGAGAACTAGGAAACGGGTTACAGCATCTCCTTCATCTGAACATTGAAAGTTCGACACGTGGTCACGCATGGAAATTTTTCACATCGAGGAGACCCCATGTGCGGTCAAATCTAGCTCTATCCACGCGCGTGGTTAATAAATGAAATCGCCTTCCGGAGCTCGTCGTTGATACGCAATCCGAGGAAAGTTTCAAGAAATTGTTGAATTCCCACTTGATAACTGTGTCCGGATATTGCTTCATAACCTAGCTTTAAGGTGCATTATGGAACCCTATTTTCACTATGACCTCAGCAATGTTCGCAATGACTGGGAAACGACGGAGCTGATAAAGGACTCTACTTCTGCTCTTTATCCTACAATGATACAATGAGGACTCGACTGCGGACGACGCTCCGTCCAGGGAAGGGCTAATTTTTGTATTGGCAGGAAAGGGCTTCCCTTCAAGTTCAAGCGGGACTGGAACGATAGGATTATCCCGTGAGTGTCCCTTCTTCGGCGGGTCGTGGAAACAGGAGTTGGGAGTACTGATGGACCTAAAACAAAAACCGCATCACACCCTGTCCAACCGACTAATGCCCACGTATCCTGCCCTAGCAGTCCCTGCTAGGCCAGTTATGTGAAGTAAGAAAGAGAAAAAAGTAAACTCAGGCAAAAGAGAAAGTGGAGAGAGCTAAACAAGTGGAA